CTAGCGAGCGGCGAGTGGCGAGCGCGGGGGTCACGAGGGCGCGAGGCGAGCGCAGGAGCCCGCGCGGCTGACAGGTGAGGTGCCCGCCTCAGACCATGGCTGCTTCCCACAATGCTCTCGAACTGAAAGTTTGCAGACTCCTCCCCGCGCTCCTCCCCTCTCCCTCCTACCCCTCTCCCTCCGGCTCCTTTCCCTCCTCCCCTGCTTTTTCCCTCCCCTCCCTCCTCCATTTCCTCCTCTCCCTCCTCCATCTTCTCCTCTGCCTCCTCCACCTCGTCCTCTCCCCCGCACCCCCCGCCCCGCGCCGCAGCTCTCCCAGCCCAGCGCCCCGCGGGCGGCAGCAGGTGCACTTGCACCTGCCCGCGCCTCTGCACCCCCGGGCACTAGGAAGCGCTGAGCAGGGAGCCCTGAGGGGGCTGCTTTCCGGATTCTGTACGGGGAACGTGTCATTCATTTATTTGAGAAACGTGTTCCGCCCTGGCACTTGGGAATACGCTTAGGGGAAGTGGCAAGAGGTGGGCTCGTCCTAAACCGCCAAGGGCAGAAGCGGTTGGCAGATGCAGAACTAGAAGCAATTAGATTTCTTTTTTTCTTTTTATCTTTTAATCCTGCAAACCAAGGACATAGATCGTTTTCTACAGGCGCGGTTTTAAGTCTCTCCTAAGACTTTGTGGCGTCCAGTCTCCAGTCTCTCTCCTCCACTTGATTTTTCTTAAGTCTAGAGTTTTTACCTGGGGCGGCAGAAGTCTCCAGACCCCCAGGTGGTAAGCAGAGTTTTGAGTGTATACATAGGTTCTTTTGGGAGAGTCCATTGGTTTCATCACATACCTAAAGAGATCCGTGTGGAAAGGTTAAAAGGCTTTGCCTGGGGGGTCCCTGGAAGCCAAAATTGGTGGAAGTCCTTCCTAGGATTTACTGTGTAATTTCCATGGGGTGTGGGCCAGCCGAGGTGTTGGGAAACAAGGGATACTCCGTCCATCCATGCATCGCTGCCGCATTTATCAGTGCTCACTCTGTGCCAAGTCCTACAGAAGGAGATGGGGGTCCAGCTGGGAACAAACAAGCTGCCTTTCTTCTGAAGCTTACAGGCTCTTGTGGGACAACAAATAATAAACAGGTAAATAAATAATAATAATTTGAAATATAAAGTAAGATGAGTGTTAAAAAAAATTATAAGGAGGGTAAGTGCAGGTGGCTGGGATGGGCTCAGGGAAAGCCACATTCATTGAGCTGGGGGCGGGGGGGGGGGCGGGCAGGGCCGGGACATAAGACCCGGAGGTGAGAAACCAGTGCTCAGAAGGAAAAGAGAGTTGTCATTTTCAAAAGACCCTAAAGCAGGCCTCTGTGTCTGGACATAAGCGATAGGAGGCCAGAGTGGTGGCCAGAGTCGGAAGGCACTGGGTCTTCCCTACATTATGGCATCATGTGCACTTATAGCCCCCAAGACAGCCTCAAAGTCCTCAAAAAGTTCGCCTCCGTGTTGCCACACACCTCCTGTTGGCTTCCGCCCCAGTGTTGCGGCATCTCCCAGAGGGCTCTGGAAGAGGATACTTAACAGTTACACCCCAGGCAATGGGGTGAGTCTGCCTCTTGACAGATGATCCACAATTTACTGTGAAGTTATGAGAGCTGCTTTCTAAACTTCTAATTGTCACCCCATGGTGCGTTTTCTCCCTATCTTTGGCCTTTCAACTTTACCCAGTTCTACTCTAACCTTTGTGTGTCTTTTTCTTTCTAACTTCAGGACAAGACCGAGCCCTGCCCCACCTGCCTTGCTGAGCCTATGAAAAGCATCCAGAGCCCTCTGCTTTAAGGGTTTTATTGCTAATGCAAAGAGCTGGGGAACTAAAGGTGTGCTTGAAAACTAAGGAAATCTCGGGCGCCTGGGTGGCTCAGTTGGTTGAGCGACTGCCTT